TTGAGTTGCTTGTGGTGAAAGGGACGTTCATATCGTCATATTCTTCATCCACATCGTGACCACCACCTTGTTCAAAGTCTCTCGGATCGTTTTCTTCATCGATCTAATTCCGTCATACATTGGAAAGAACAAAACGTTACCAAAGACAGAAGACGTGCTTTTCAGAATGAATCTGTTCGAATTTTTCGAATTTGGCTCGTTTAAATGTAGATCGACTAAATTTTTTGCTCAAAACGCGAATATTTAAGAAAATTAAACCACCTCTTCTACGAAATCACTATTACAATGAGGACAGGTAGGGTTTGGAGCCATTAAAGGTTCTATCTCCCTGTGACACTGGTGACAGTAGTATTGTTTTCGATTGCTTGCCGGGGCGTTGTCGCTAGTTTGATCGGACATTGTGTAAACTCTTCAATAATACGAAATTCCCTAAGTACACTTTTTTTTCCTTGTTGAGGAGGAGGCAGGTTCGGAGTTTAATAATACACCAACAGCTTTTCGATCAGTGAACTAACTTACGAGTATTTCGAGAACAATCACTGATCAGGGGACTTTTATTGTGTGACAAAACTTTGTGCTGATAAGCACACCCTGGTTTCGTCCTACTGTTCCCACCTCTATGCAAAAAGGCACGTGGACTATTATTAAATATGGTAATAATGAGGTTTCTGTCAATGTCTCTTTTCAGCATCAACTTTCTTTCACGTGAAATGTATGAGTGAATTTTCATTCTCAGAATTGGGCTTATGAAATAGTGGTTTACGCGACTTATTTTTAAATGGAGATTATCAAAGAGTTTATTATTATGTTTCTTCAAAATCTCTTGGTTGAAAGGCCCGAGGAAAAGAAAAAAGTTTTGCATAAATGCATTGTGACAGATCATGGAAAGCTGATGACAATGGGCTGCGCTACGGAATGTCAGATCGGGATGTTGTGTTACGTTACTTTGTCATAGTTTCACTTTTTTTTTTTTTTTTTTTTTTAGGTTTGTGACTTTACCCTCTTTCATATTCCTCTCATGCCAGTCGCGTTTGAAACCTCCGTTACTGATTCCACATCATTTCCAGTTGGCGAGCACAGTGCCAGCCTGACTAAAGAAGTTCACACGGATTCATTTTTGGAGGCTCCACCACAGCGTGTTCACGAATTGCGTCAGACTACTCGGGAAGAACGGGAACCGTTGAAGGTTCAAGAGGAACCCGAACAAAAACAAAATTCAAATTCCTTTATAGAAAGAACACGGGATCCGTACTCATTACCGCAAGAAAAGACATTGAATTCGGAAGAAGACGTCTCCAATGCCGCTGTAAACGAAACCATCGAAGAATGTGCCACGATTACCTCCGACACGGAAGTGGATAAAGATTTAAGTTTCGAGGAGAGGTTACTTAATGACAATGAAGAGTATGTTTTTAATCTCTTATATTTGTTAAATTTTCCCTAATCTCATTTTGCCGATTAACCTTTTTGTCACCAATTCAGTTACGAAATGGTTTTAAGAGCCATCAATGTTCTGAAATTTCAATTACAACAAGCAAAAGAAGATATATGTAAATTAAAATTTATGAAAGAGAGGGCTCTTGAAGATCCCATACAATTCGTCGAGGATCTGCGTAACGGGGTTCGTTTACTTCCAACATTTCCAGTTAGAGAAACATAAACGAATGGTTATTTATTAGTCAGAAATTTATCAGACAAACGAAAAGGTACCCAAGCGTCAATTTGTGTTTGGCGTTCCAAAAATTGATTGGAGCAAATATCATACCAACCCACTGGAGTATAATGCGCGACTAGGTCAGTATATACGGCATTATAAGTAATCAAGACTTATCATTATATTACCGTGCTCACACGATCAACAATCCTTTTAGAGAAAGAGGCCCTAGATGATTCTAAGGTTAGTCACGTTATTTTGCAATCCGCATATATATATATGTTTTTTTTTGAATTCGATTCAACTCATTTACAGTGATTGATCATCTGAAGACTTTGGAGAAAAGTCGATCTCGACCATATCGGGAGGAATCACCGGACCTTACCGAGCTTGTTCATAAAAAAGCACAGGAATTAGGCTTTAAAGTTCCACTAAATGCTGTGAAGTCCACGCGTTTCAGAAAAAGAACGGATCGAAATGGTGATAACGACACCATTTTCACAAATTCCTCAAAGAATGTTGATTTAAGGTCTTCAGGTCCAAGAAGAAAGGCGGTAGGCTTGAGACCGTCGGCATTGATGCACGCAGCTTCAAAAGATTCGACAAGATTTGCAAGGTTTGATATTAGGCTGACATCATTTTTTGTATACGGATTATCAGCGTTCTTTCTGTTTAATTGGAACACGAATTTATGTTCTGAAGACTGTCTCAATAACCCATCCTTTGATAGTGAAGTTGCAGTGGATAAAAGTTCGAATATGTCATCGAAACGCAATGTGCCGTATACAGAGGTGAGCATTGTAGCTTATTAGTCAATTTCTACAAAATGCATTAGACTAAATTTAAAGTTTTTATTTCGATCAAAAAGCGTCATCTAGAACGTTTTCTTGGCAAATATCCTGGAGGGGAGGCCCAGCCAAATAAATATAAAAAGATTGTAAATAGTTTAAAAGTCAGAGCTCCGAAACAGGTACTTTAAATTATAAAATTTATCCTATCATGGTGAGATAGGAAAATATGTCCAAATTGACAAGGCATGCGCACTTGCTTTTAATCGGATACTGAGTGCGCTGCAAATATTGGATGATAAAGAATTTGATCCGGAATTGATTGTTTTTCATATTATTTTATATAAATTGTTCAAAAATGAATGTTTCTTTCAGTCACCTAGGAATACAACGCCAAAGAATAAGAGGTCGAGCAGGGTATCTAAACCAAAGTTAACAAAACTTCGGTTCGAAAAACGACCTCGACGTCCACGGTAACCATAGATTATTCGCATTTGCGGTCATATAGAGGTTCTTACTTTATTAACCATGCCTGTTTCAGTGTGTCCGGAATTGCATACATGGAAGCACAGCCTCCACCCACATTATATATGCCTGATGATGACGATGAAGTTAGCATCAAGAACGTGATGATGTCTGTTGACAAGGTCAATGAATCACAGACCTCACAGGTATTCCTTTCCTTTCCCTCCCTGGAAATAGAGTTTCTATGAGACATTTAATATTGACTTGTTCATTATAATTGACGACATTTTAGTCTTGTAGCTATTCGGCTGGGCCGATACATCACGGCTTTTGCGTGAGTAGTTTGTGCAACAGAATCGATTACTTTTTACATCCACATCCACTACATTAAGGTTTCCTATGATTTGTAGTGTGATAGTTGTCAAAGGGACCCAATAGAAGGAACGCGTTTTCTTTGCATAGACTGTGATGAGAGCCGCCAAATTGACCTCTGCGAAGAATGCATGGCTGAAGGAAATTTCGAAAATGGTATTCAATTGTACACGTACGTTTGTTTATTTGAGCAAAAGAATTTTTTCTCAAGTTTTCCAATGGATTTTTGTTTACAGACCATCACAAAAAATCTCATCGATTTTCGATCATCACCAATCCAATACCCCCGCATTTCGATGCGGATTATCTACCAGAGCGAGTCGGGGAGTATAATTATTTAGGCCTTGCCCCTTCCGCCCCATGATCACGTCTGAATTTTTTATTAGATTATGGACATATTATAAATTCGCTATTATTATTATGGAGATATTATAAATTCGCTATTATTATTATGGAGCAAAAAAAAAATATTTTTAATAAAAAATAATACCAATTGTGGTTTATTTTCAAGAATTTTCTCAAGTGTGTTAGCATCTTTACCATATCTGGCATGCATATTACAATCCCAATAAGTATATATAACGTGAGCAGACTAGCTGATCAAGTGTAACCTAGAATGTCGGACAGTTCTAATATGGTGTAAGAGAACCATAAATGTTGCATCGTTAAATTGAATTACATAATGCATATATAATTTACGTCTGGGCAGGTTATTCTGCTACACACAGATTTTCTCATCCAACTCGTCTTTCAATCCAATTTCTTTCATCATTTGTACTAGGCTGATCTCAACATCATGTATCTCACTAACTAATCCGTCCAGTACGGAATTCTTTTCGATCGATTTTAAATGTAAACTCAAGGAATTTTCAACTTCGCAAAATTCCTCGTCTTCATCATGCTAAAAAAAAAAAAAAGAAGTTAAAAAAGATTCCCATGTTTGGAAACAATATCTCAGCATAATGGAGATACACCTTCCACGTGCAAAACGACGGATCATTTACTGGCTTAATATGTTTTCTGATTAATTCGTCATCTACCTCGGCAAGTTTTTCGAAGTCTTCTCTAAGGAGCGGATGGATCTTTTTTATGATTATTCCGGTGCACGGTATGTACAACAATATCGTTCACGTAAGAAAATGTTGAGCGCGGGAAAAAAAAAAAAAAAGAAGACACGTGTGCTTACCTTAGTTCTTTGAAGCGTCCTATTTCGTGTTTCAACTGCCTTTTTGTCACTTTTGAATTTTGCCAGAAACTTTTGATCTTCATTCATTAGTCTAGATTAAAAACATGGTTCACATTATAAAAATCTTGTTGAAAATGCAAACACTCGATAGAACCGTCGCCGCTTACTTTTTCTCACGTTCAAGTTGCATTTCTATTTGACGGATTTGTTCTAATTCATGGTTGAGCGATTTTTCCAGTGCTTGCTACCGGAAAAAAATTCCATGTACATGAAATGGAGACGGACTAACATTGTTTGATAAGAAATGTTACCTGCTTACGTTTTGCGATTGGATTTTGTCGTAAATTATGTTATCGGAGGCTTTGAACAAGGTGGTGGTCACGATGTGGATGAAGAATATGACGATATGAACGTCCCTTTCACCACAAGCAACTCAACCGGTGGCCCAAATGATATCATGCAGCAGTTATTGCAAAGTATTCTCACGTATGTTCAATATCAGAATGGACCTAACGGTCCCATATCAACGACAGAAACCACAACAACGGGGAATGAGCAACAACCAGAACGAGGTCAACAGCAAAGTCAACAACCACCGCAAGGTCAACAATCATCACAAGGCCAACCACAAGGTCGACGACAAAATTTCATCTTTATGGGAAGTACATCGGACGTCGATGACCGTACACCTTTCTTTAGCATAGCACAGTAAGTTTTCTTGATTTTTATTTCTCCAAATATCCGATTCCTGCATTTCTTATTTTTTTTTTCTTAATTGTAGAATACTCCAAAGAGTGGTGGAAAATACTGGGAATAACAACACAATTTTGAACTTTCTCAATATTGCCGGTGACCCCCGAGATTATGCGTGGGGATCAGAATTAGATAACATTATTTCTCAACTGATGGAACAACAAGCCGGGTAATTGTGTCGGAACAATTGTTTCTTAGAACTCACTTTTTGTACGGTATACTTCACTTGCAATTTCATATTTCTTAACAGAAGGCAAGCTCCGCCTCCAGCTCCTGATGAAGTCATTGAAAATCTGCCAAAGACGAAAATTTCCAAAAAGCAAACAGGTTGGTATTCTCATACTTTGACGATGCGTAAATCTTTATTTGATTCTAATTCAAAAATCATCAGAGGAACAATTGGGTTGCCCGGTTTGCAAAGAAGAATTTAAACTAAATGAAGAGGTGGTTTCTTTGCCTTGTTCTCATGATTTTCATGGGGAATGCATAAAACCATGGTTAAAAATGAATGGAACTTGTCCAGTTTGGTATGTGATACGTACGAAAAATTTCACCCATCCTCTATTGTACTTTCTTTTGATCGCCTTTTCTACTTCAAATTCATCAGCCGACATTCATTGGTAAGCCGGGACGATAGTCAAAGAAATGATCAAAACAGCAATGGTACTGGTCCTTCGGGAAACAACAATAACCATAATAATGGACCATCAACGTCAACAGGATTTCGGTTCACTGTCAGCTCTTCTTCTGATGCATCCTCCGGAAATCGATCGAACAACAATCAACCGAATCGACAAGATGAACATGAAAAAATCGACCATATGGATTTGGATTCAGAATCGTTGGATTAGTAGATGATTGGTGTGGAATGGCAATCTATTCTCAATGAAGATAGAACAAGAAGGACCTTGTATTCCTTCTCATTCTTTTATCACCATTATCTTTTAGCAAATTAAAATTTACTTGAAGAACTGAAGTTGTTGAATATTTGTACGAGTCGATTTTTTCATCCATTATATTTTGGCAATTATTATTATTCAAAGTGTGCAATAGACGTTTTCTTTTATATTATATAGTAAAAATATTCTTGTGCATTCATGCCGTCCCTAACCTTTCACCATAACTAGTTTGTCGATATAATTGTAAATTGCAACATTATCTACCATTATTACTGTGACCATCACTATTTTTTTCTTTTTTTTTTATTAAAATTAGAAACTGATAATCAAGAAACACCGTAATGTTGTAGTTCAAACTTAACAATCCTCTAGTTCTTATGAATCCAATAACATTAAAAATTTGCAACCACATAATTTCTAAGTTTACAAAATTAAATTATTAAACAAGATCATCAGCAATAAGAATAATCGAATTATGGATTTGACTAGAATGTGGAATTGATCAGAAACTGAGGCAATGTTGGCGAATGAGCAATTCGTTAAGAACAATGTAACCAGATTAAGCATCAATAAATGAATTTTCGAGCTTTCTTAAAAAATCTCGGATTTATCGCAAACCATTATTCAGCGTTAATACAGTAGTAACAGCTCAATACAATATATTAACTCTTCCATTAACAAATCCAACTATGAAAAATATATTTAATTTTTATTTATATTTTATATTTTATTCTATCTTATTTTATTGAGTAAAGATTTTTTTGATTCATATATTATCGTCAACGGTTTATTATTCTTATCAAGTCACTAAATGACAAAAGACTATATAAAAGAAAAATAGAAAAAAAGGAAGAAGAGAGTTTAAATTTTATATATACTATAAGTATATTATAAAAAAAAAAATAAAAAAAAAAATTGAAAAATAATATAGTGTACAGTATATAGTTTTTTTCAAATATTATATTTTTAAAACTTTTTTTTTTTAATAAAAGTTATTGAAATATTCTTTTTTTTTCTAATTATTTAAGAAACTTATTTAGTTTTGATTTTGATTTTTTTTTTTTAAATTGGCTTGACTTGCTTTTATTTGATTAAAATATATTATAATCCAAATAACATATTCTAAAATAAAGATATATAACAAGATTATTTATTCTTTAATCATATATAAAAAAGATGTTTACAAGAAGTTTTTCACTTCTTTGCTAATAAAATCTTAACACTTTTCTTAAAACAACTTGAAATCTAACTTAAAGAGTCATTTTTATCCTTTCTCTATTGTTTACAAATCTTTTCATTCAAAAAACTTGACTTTCAATGATTAAGAAAAGTTAAATAACAATTTTGATATCAATAGTAAGAAAGTTTTCAAAGAAAGAAGAACTAATTGTAAAATATTTGAAGATCCTTCTAACCTTTGAAGTAAAAGGTTTATAGAGGTTTTATTACAATTAAAAAACTTATTTTTTTTCTTTTAAACTGTCCTAACCTTCTTAGAGCTTTTACTTTTATGGTTTTTTGAAAAATTTTATCTATTTCAATTTGACTTTGAATTTTTAATAGTATAAATTCTTACTAAAGGTGATTGGTTAATATGAACTATATTAGTTTCTAAAATGTAAACTAGTTTCTATTGATTATATTCATATATTCAAATAATATTATTGATAATTTAAAAGAATATTTTGAAATGTTATTCTTAGAAATTCAAGTTTCTTAATAAAAACTTTCATGATAATATGAATTGCAAATTCATATCTCTTATTTAAATTTCTTAGGTAATAACAAATTTTAATAAAAAAATCTGAGATTTAAATGTTTTTCTTGAGATATCCCAATTTAATGCTTACTTAAATAAAGAACCAGTTGAATTGACTTATTCAATATTATAAGTGATGAAAAAAAATTTTTTTTTTTTAAGATTTATGTGAAATAAGAAGATTATTCCAATCAAATAGATTTCTTTTATGAAGAAATTATTTTTATTTTTGAACTTTTTTGATAGATATTAAATTATCACTTTCTTTTAATCGATTTTTTCTTTTTTAACTTAACAATTTATTGATTTTCGGGTCAATTAATAGTAATAAATTATTAATAATGATTTTGATAGATAAAGATTATTATTAATCTATCAAAAGAAGTATAATATTGTTTCCAAAATTTGACTTAAAGTACTTATATATGAAAACAAGTTAGTCACTTTATGAAAGTTTATAAACTATTGCAAATTTTAATTTAATTTTTCAATAAAGACAAGTCATTGTAATATGATTGCAAATTAAAAAAAAAATAAAATAAAAATAAAAATAAAAATATATAATAAAAATTAATATAAAAAGAACTCTACTAATAATATATTACTATCTACTGTAATTAAATTTATATTTGACTGATATATCTAAATGGAATTGCTTTTAAAAGGACAATTCCCAAAAAAAGAATTAAAGAAGTGGTTAATAATAATTAAAGAAGTATTCAAGAATAGATTCATCAAAAATTCTTTAAACAGTGTCACATAATATTTCACAAGAAATATAGTTTGCTCAAAATTCAAGTTTATTAATAAATTAAGAAAACTAGGACAATTCCTTTAGTTCTAAAATCAAGAGAAGATATCCAATCTTCAAAAAATCAAAATGAAGTTATTTATCAACTTATTCTACTTTTGAATGAATTATGACTGCTTATATACTTGTAAAAATGGATCACTTGAGCCACTTGGACCTTTTGGGTTGCCTAATTTACAGTAAATTATGTCATGTACTATATTTGATAAAATGATCTACATTAATTAAGTACCAATAAGAATATCACAAATAATTATAAATAAATGAATAAAAATAGAAATAGAATAAATATCATGACTAAAAATAACTATCCAATGGTATTAGAGGCTATTTTTATTATACTACTATAGAATTCTATATTTTAACTACTAGATAATAAATATTAAAAATAAAATATAAACAAAAAAAATAAAAATAATAATATTTTTATATTTAATTTTAAATCTTTATATACTATATATTCAATCAAATTTCTACAGTAATGAGCTGTAGGCAATAATCTGAGTGACTAAAGAATAATCCAAGCCATAAAGAGAGTGAAATATCATCTCCTAAGTTGTATCTAGAGAAGGTTAAACATTATAGATAGGTGAGTCAATATGTGAAAGTCATAAAATATGTAAATATCAAATATGTTTACAATAAAATGAACAAACCATATTGGCCTGACTGCAGGTTAAAAAAAAAATATATTCAATCAAATTATTCTACAGTAATAATCTGTAAGCAATGATTTTATTAATTAAAGGAATTATCCAAATTAGTAAAGGAGCAAAATATTATTCTTTAGGTTGTATTTAAAAAAATAGCTTTTCAGCGATGAGTAAATTAGTATGTGAAAGTTGCAACAATTTGTAAATATCTAGTATATATACAATAAATATATGCTATACTGATCTGACTGTGGGTTAAAAAAAAAAAATATATTCAATCAAATTATTTTTTAGATATATTTTACAATTATTTAAAGAGAAAAAATTATAATATTGAAATTTACAAAATATTTTTTTAATATTGATATTAGTATTTTATTAGTTTGAAAAATATTTTTATTTTTAATTTATTATTCCAATACTTTAATTTTTTAATACTTATTAAAGTTTAAATATTCTTATATTGAAAAATATTTTTATTATAGAATTTTTTAACTCTTTCTAATGATCCTTCAACTATACACAAAAAAGATGCTCACAAAAAGTTTTTTCACTTCTTTACTAATAAAGTCTTGATACTTTTTATAAAACAACTTAAAAGTTTGACTTAAAAAATCATTTTTATTCTTTCTCTATTGTTTACAAGCCTTTTTATCCAAAAACTTGACTTCCAGTGATCAAGAAAAGTCATATAATACCTTTGATATCAATGGCAAGAAAGTTTTCAAAGGAAGAAGAACTAATTATAAAGTACCTAAAGGTCTTTCTAATCTTTAAAGTAAAAGGTTTACAGAAATTTTATTTTAGTTAAAAGGCTTATTTTTTTCCTTTTAAACTGTTCTAAATCTTTTAGAGTTTTTACTTTTATGGTTTTCTGAAAAATTTTATCTACTTCAGTTTGACCTTGAATTCTTGTTAACACAAATTCTCACCAAAGATGATTGACTGATATGAAATATGTTAGTTTTTGAAATATAAACAAGCTTCGATTAATCTCACTCTTATGTTTCAATAATATTATTGATAATTAGAAAAAATGTTTTAGAAACATTTGTCCCTCAAAAGCTCAAGTCTCTTAATGAAAACTTTTATCCTATCTTTTATTTAAGTTTCTCAAATGGTGACAAAGCTTTAATAGAAAAAGTTAAGATCCAAATACTTTTCTTGTAATGTTTTAATCTGATATTTACTTAAATAAAGGATCGGTTGAATTGACTTATCCAATACCATAAGTGATAAAAAAGAAGATTTCTTCTAAAGTTCAAGTAAAACAAGAAACCTATTCCAATCAAATAGATTCCTTTTGAAAAGATATTGTTTTTATTTTTGGATTTTTTTAGTGAACCTTGAATTGTTCTTTTTTCTCAAATCAATTTTTTTCTTATTTTTTTTAATTTAGTAATTTATTGATTTTCAGATCAATCAATAATGACAAACTGTTAGCAATAATTCTAGTAGATAAAAATTATTATCAATCTATCAGAAGAGTTTAATATTGTTTTCAAAATCTGACTTAGAGTACTTATATATAAAGATAAGTTAGTTACTTTGTAAAGTCTGTAAACTATTATAAATTTTATTTTAATTTCTTAATAAAGATAAGCAATCATGACATAATTGCAGATTAAAAAAAAATATATAGTGTATATATATAGTATATATATATATATTTTTTTTTAATTAAACTGCAACTGATATTAGATATGAGTTTTTTATTGATAATTAAATCTTAAGCA